GGGTGCATCCAGGAACAAGAAAGGAAAGCCTGGGGACAGAGAGGGGACCTGCAGCTGGCCCTGCCCCACCTGGCCCACTCATATTTTCACCGTCTGGCCCTGTGGCACCCCCATCCGGGGCCAGGCATGTGCCAGGCCATAGGGAGAGGCCGCACGTCCAGTCTGGGCAGGGGCAGGGTGCTTGAAGATCGGGACAGGTGCAGGCTGGCTTGGGTTTCCAGAGGCTATATATATATATAAAAAGGCTGCCGGGAGCCCAGGGGCCGGCCGCTCCCTGAGGGCGCAACACTGTGGGGCCCAGCCAGGAACGCTCAGCATTCCTGTCCAGAGGCTGGCTCTCCATTTATAGCCGGAGGCAGGCAGGCCAGGGAGCTGAGGAGGGGCAACTAGAGAGGGTGGAGGAAGAAGAGACAGGGAGCCCTCCCCACCCCCACCTGCTACCAAAAGAGCTCTTCCGTGTGAAGAACGGAAAACCAAGGCCCGGGGTGAGGCATGCACTTGCCCCAAGTCACATAGCCCACCAGTCCGCTCAGCCTTGAATTGGAGGAAGAGGTGCTGGGGGGTGGCCCCTCCAGAGGACCCTCAGCACATTGTCATTGAGCTCACCCAGAACAAATCCCCGAGGGACACCCTTGACTAGACTCTGCAATATTAGGATTTGGACTCTTTCAGCTTCCAAACTTAATGTCCTTTTCCTCCCTGCCCCCAACCCAGCACCAGGGCTCAGGACATCCTTCTCTAGCAACAGGGATGAGATGATGGTGCTGGCAAGCCTCTCCCCAAAGATGCAGTGGCACAACCAGGAGAGCAACCTTGGGCAGGCATGGGTCCCAGTCCTGGAGAGATCTGCAATGCTCACCAAGCCCAGGGATTCCCAAACTCATCAAGCAGCGGAAGCCTCGTAGCAAACAAAATTCCATGCGGAAGTCTAATATGGAAGTGGCGTGCACCTCTAGGGTGTGTGAGCGTTTTTTAAAAAGTGCTCCCTAATTACTGAAGAAGAAGATAAAGCTCCAAATCAAGTTGAAAGCTACCAAAGCAGTTTAGATTCCTAAGCCACAAGGGATAAAATATTAAACGTGTTTGGTAAGTTTAAACATAACATGTATTTATTGTCACCTTGATGGCAGCCCTGAGGTTGTTTTTCTGAATGCAAAACACACAAAAAGCCAATTGTAATCATTTAAGTCTCAGCATGCGATTTATTTCTGTGTTTTCTTTGCTTGCTCAGGTTTGAGAAAAGTCTAGATTTGTATGGATATGTGGTTGGAAGAGCTCACCTGGAAATCTCAAAGTACTCTTCAATAAAATGGTTTGATTCACTCATTCATTCATCCAACAAGTATTTACTGAGTGCCTACTGTGTGCCAGGCATTCTGCTGAAGCCTGAGCAAGTGGGAAGAATGTTTGTTTCTATATAAATCACTAATGTAACAATTATTCACATTCTTCACTGTGAATGGTAATCAAATGAAAAGACTTAAGCTTATAATAAGCACCAAATCTCTCTTTGGTAAACTATTACAATTTTATAGCAAGCCATGTGTAATTGCTCAACATACAGTAACATGCCCCAGGTGGACAGGCCTTAGTCTTACCAGAAAGAGCAAGTGTGACTGAGCATGTATCTCTAATCATCTATGCAACTGTCCAGTTTAAAAGAAATACAACCATCCTCATTAATGACACATTTCAAGAAGTTCAAATATAGAGATTCAAAGGGCCACCCATTCATTCATTCGACATTTATCAAGTTTGTACTATGTGACAGCCACTGTGTTGGTTTCTGGAAATGCCATGATCAACAAAACGTCCCTGCCTTCATGGAGCTACATCAATCAATGAACAAAACTAATAAAGAAGATAATTAAGGAGTGGCTGTGCTAAGAAGGAAATGAGCAGGTTGATATGACCCAGTTACCTTAGAGAGGATGGTGAGACACATGTGAGCTAAGACCTGATATATGAAAAGCAACCAATCTTGAAAAGAGCCCGGGAGAGGGTGCTGTAATCAGCAAGAACAAGGCCCTGAGGCAGGACTGTGCTCAGAGAGTTGGAAAACAAGGAAGGTGGTCAGGCCAGAATGGAGTTCAAAAGGGATGGTGATTCAGGTGAAATTCCAGAGATGGGCTGAGGCAGCTCATGCAGGGTCTCCTAGGCCAGGGTGAGGAGATGAAACTTTATTCTAAATGCACTGAGAAGCTGTTAGGGAGTTTGAAGCAGAAGAGGGTTATAATCCCATTTATGTCTTTAAGGGATTACTCAGGCTGATCTGTAGTGAATGAATACACTGGAACAAGAGTGGAAGTAAGAAGAGTAGCCAGGAGGCTGTTGGGGTTGTCCATGCCAGCAGTGTGGCAGCTTAGTCCAGGATGGTGACACTGGAGATGGAGAGACTTGAGAGATGTCTTAGAGGTTAAGTGGAGAGGTCCTCCACATGCACAGATCTCTCCTCTGGAACTCCGGCCTCATAAATCCTCTTGCCTACTTGACATCCCCACCTGGATATTGAATATGCATTTCAAATTTTGCCCAAACTCGGACTCTTGATCTGTCACTCACAAACCTGCTCTTCCCCCACTTCACTCTTCCAGGAGTCATCCTTAAGTCCTCTTCTCTCAGTGCCCACATCCAATTATGAATAAGCCTTGCTGACCCCATCTTTAAAATATATCTGGAATTCAACCACTTTCACCATCTCTACAGCTGCCATCCACATCTAAGCCACCATTACTACTCACTTGGAATATTGCAATAGCCTCCATTTGCTCTCCCTGCTTCTGCCCTTGCTCTCTATAACCAATATGCTCCTGTTAAAATGTAAGTCAGATTATGACATTCTTCTCTTCTGCTCAAGCCCTCCAATGACTTTCCAGAATACAATTCCTTTGCTCCCCCTCTGACCCTATCTCCCACCACTCTCCCACTGGCTCACCCTTCTCCGGACGTACTGGCCTCTTTGCTGTACTTTAAATCTACCAAACACAATCCTGCCCCAGGACTTTTGCACATGCTTTTCCTTCTGTCTGGCTCCAGATGTCTACTTCTGCTCCACCCCCTTCATTCAGAACTCTGCTCAAATGTAATCAGCCTAAAGAGGTCTTCCCTGACCACTCCATATAATGAAATAATCTTCATTACTTTGTTCCCTTGCCTTGTTTTATTTTTTTATAGAACGTATAACCTTCTGACATCATACAGTATATTTCGTTGTTTATTCATTTCTTGTCTATCACCCTACCCTAAAATGTAAGCACCATGAAAGCGCCTTAATTTTGTTCATTACTTTATCCTCAACACCTGGACCAGTACCTGGCACACCAAATTGATGCTCCATAATATGTGTTCAATGAATAAATGAAAGTGGTGTTATGGTGCAAAGGGAGGCGAACATTTCATGAAAGGGGTTTTCAGCACTACTACGAGTGAAGAAGGCAGGGCTCCAAAAGAGCCCTCTCTAGGTTTGGTGGGAAAAGGGGCTTCCCAGCATCCAGGGAACCAGTTAGGAAGGCTTCCAGAAGTTAGTGGGAAAGGCACAAAAATCATTCTTGCTTCTATCTCTGTGCTCCAGAAGAAGAGACCCAAGGGAGTGTCTAGTCCAAGTGAGACCTCTAGCCAGAGTGCTGAGAGGAATGTGTGGACTGCAGATTCAGGAAGAGGCTGAGAAGCCCTATGGGAGTAGGTACACCCCAAGGCTTGTGAGGGAGCCAGAGATCCCATGGGGTGGCCACCTCCTCCTATTCTGGGCCTGCTGGGAAGAAATGCAGCTGCAGCCTCAGTGGGAGCTGAGCCCTGAGACTACATGGCCCCTGTCAGGGCTCTCAATGCCCCAGCCAACAGCTGGGGAGCCTCCAGGGAGGGTACAGTCCACCGTTGCCAGTGACAGAAGCAAGCCCACAATCACTCCAAGAGATCACTATTATTATCCCCAAATTTGCAAAGTGGGGAAATAGGCTCAGAAGGCCAGTGACTTCCACAAAATCAGACAGGAAACTGTGGGGTCTGTACTGGAACTTAGGTCATTGTTCTGCAAACTCCACACTGAAGTGGTGTTCTCAGGATGGGTCTGGGCATTCGAGGCCTTTGCGCAATGAGCTTTTCTGGTGCAGCACTGCGGGCCAGACAGGAGGCAAGACCTGAGCAGATGGAGTTTTCTTTCCAGATGAAGAGATAGTTCCTCCTAGAGCGGCACTGGATACCCAGGTGCCAAAATGTGCAGGTTGAGATGGTCAAGGAGTCCATTTTCCTCCCTCAAAGCAGGGACCGGAGCTGAATTTGGAAAGCTTAGTGCAAAGCTTTCGCAGCAATCCTAGACTCCAGTATAGATGCAGCTGGATTTCCAAACGTGCAGGGAAGATGAGCAGGAGCTGGCCTAATGAGCAGGCTGTCACGTCCAGTTTGACTCAGGTTTACCCACTTAGACTCTCGGAGTCCATCTCTGGAGTCTATCTCTCGTTTGCGCGTTTCTCTGCCTCTGACTCTAGCCTTCTGCTTTCTGTCTCTCAGCCTCTTGGGTATATCTCTCACGGACTCACTATCTCAGCTCTGACTGTGTCTCTCTCCAAATCTCTTCCCATCTGACTTCTACGCCTACCCTGCTTCTGGGTCCTTCTACCCCAAATCAGAGGACAGATGAGCCCAAAGTCAGTTGGGAGGTGAGCGCCCTCGGCCAGCGTTTCCTGTGGACACAGGGAGAGTCTTGTGCTGGAGAGGTTTGGAAAGAGTGTGCCCGGGAGCCAAGTGCAGCCGCGCCGCTTAGCGCTGCCAGCTTCTGCCTCCCTTTCTGCCTGGGGAGGAGTCAGAGCGCGCGCGCTCCGGGTGTGGAGAGGTAGGGGGATGGCCCCCGCGGCCACCCAGGGGATCCCAAGCTCCTCCCTTCCCTGCTCCTATTGGCCTCGGGCGCCCCCGCCCCCAGCAGCCGGCTCCAGCTCGGGGGACCAGTAGGCTACTACTGGATAAATAGCCCCCGGCGCCCAGCTTGAAGTTAGGGGTGGAGAAGCCCCAGGGCACTGCCGCCACTTTCCCGGGTGCCCGTCAGGCCGGACCCAACAGGGTAGGGTGGGGGGTGAGCGGGTATACATCCAGACCCCCGGAGCACTTTGCTCTCACACGGCGCCAGTCCGGGGCTCCAGGGTGGCAGAAAGTTTAGGGCAACCCTTGCCGCTGGGGTTGGGCAAAGCCAGGACTGCGCCGCCCCGGGCCGAGATATGGAGCTGCTGTCGCCACCGCTACGCGACGTAGACTTGACGGGTCCCGACGGCTCTCTCTGCAACTTCGCTACAGCGGACGACTTCTACGATGACCCGTGTTTCGACTCCCCGGACCTGCGCTTCTTTGAGGACCTGGACCCGCGCCTCGTGCACGTGGGCGCATTTCTGAAACCTGAGGACTCCCACTTCCCTGCGGCTGTGCACCCGGCCCCCGGCGCCCGCGAGGACGAGCATGTGCGCGCGCCTAGTGGGCACCACCAGGCGGGCCGCTGTCTACTCTGGGCTTGCAAGGCGTGCAAGCGCAAGACCACTAACGCCGACCGCCGCAAGGCTGCCACCATGCGCGAGCGGCGCCGCCTGAGCAAAGTCAACGAGGCCTTCGAGACGCTCAAGCGCTGCACGTCTAGCAATCCTAACCAGCGGCTGCCCAAGGTGGAGATCCTGCGCAACGCCATCCGCTACATCGAGGGACTGCAGGCGCTGCTACGCGACCAGGACGCCGCGCCCCCTGGCGCCGCGGCTGCCTTCTACGCGCCCGGCCCGCTGCCTTCTGGCCGCGGAGGCGAGCACTACAGCGGCGACTCCGACGCATCCAGCCCGCGCTCCAACTGCTCCGACGGCATGGTGAGGCTGGAACCCCGGGATAGAGGAGGAGTGGGGCAGCTCTCGGGGTACATCTGTGAAGCATTTCCTCTGGGGGGAGGGTTGGCCGGGGAATCTTCCGGGGAGTGGATCCAATGTCCTGGATAGTGTTTGGGGGACGCACGGCAAACGTGCGAGCCACCTGATTGGGAGTGCTATTAGAACACTGCTGCACCGTGATCTGTTCCCCACCCCCAACCCCACCCCACCCCCGCCGTATTCCTATTTCCAAAGTTAAGATATGTGCTCCTAGGTGACTGTCCGCCTTCTACTTGGCCTGACAGCTCCCGACAGCTCCTGTCCACCCTAATCCCAGCCCCACCATCAAGTAGGACAGGAAACTCGTGGCTGAGACTTGGGGAGCTGGGGTGGGGACACAGAGAGTGATGCTCCAAGCGGTCCCGCGGCCTGAGTCAATCGCCCTTGCCCTTTGCAGATGGATTACAGCGGCCCCACCAGCGGCGCCCGGCGACGGAACTGCTACGATGGCTCCTACTTCAGCCAGGCGCCCAGCGATGCGTATTCGCGCCTCGTCCCCACGTTCCCCTTTGAACAATCCTAGCTTCCCTCTCCCTAGGACCGTCCCCCCCACACACACCCACCCACCTCCCCCACCTCCCCACCCACCCCCGCTCCACACACACAAATCCTGGGAGAAGGTGCAAGGAACGAAATACTAAGCGCTTAGCTCCCTCTCTTTTTGCCCGCACTCTCGGTGGATCGCGCCGGACAATGGCAGGCCATCCGTTTCCGGTCGGTCCCAAAGCACTGGGACCCGCGTGGGAGAGTTGTCGGAGACTCACCCGCTGCATCCTAACCTCTCCCTCCCCGCGCAGAACCGAGGCCCGGGAAGAGCGCTGCAGTGTCGAGCCTCGACTGCCTGTCCAGCATCGTGGAGCGCATCTCCACCGAGAGCCCCGCCGCGCCCGCGCTTCTGCTGGCCGACCCGCCGCCCGAGTCGTCCCCGGGCGCGCACGAGGCGGCCGCCCCGGAAGAGGACGATCGCGGCGCCCCAACCCCTACCCCCGATGTTGCGCCGCAGTGCCCCGGGGGCGCGAACCCCAATCCGATCTACCAGGTGCTCTGAGGGTGTCGACCGCCCGTGTGGAAGGACGACGCTATCCACCGCCCGAGGGATGGTGCCCCTAGGGTCCCCTCGCGCCCAAAAGATTGAACCACTGCCCCCAATCGCGCTTTAAAAGCAATCCCTCGCGAGGGAGGAGAGGCGGGAGAACTGACGTGTTTCCGCCTTTGTACCCCAGAGCAAGGACACAGTCCTTTTTCCCCCACGCAGCACCCTTTCCCTGAGACCCACTGCGATGACCGGTCTGTGTTCCTCCGTGGGCCAGAGCTGATCCTAGAGGGGCCAGGCCCTTCCTCTTCCTCACCCCTTTGCCTCGTGGGTGGGACTCGCGCAGACCTAGGCCCGAACTCAGACGCCGGGTTCCCTTATGCGGTCTCCTTTCGTGAGCCCTGGAGACATCAGCTCTTTCCCACCCCCCCTGCGCGCCGAGCTCCCGTCCCAAGCGTAACAAGTGTAACTGTAACCTCTCCCACTCCCTATTCAGGACCACTTTTTGTAATACTTTTGTAATCTATTCCTGTAAATAAGAGTTGCTTTGCCCGAGCAGAAGCCCCTAGGGCTGTATTTATCTCTGAGGCATGGTGTGCAGTGCGAAAGGAACTTTGTATGTTTATACCAAAGGGGGGCGAGCCGCTGGCCTCGCTCATGTGTTGGAAATAAAAATGCTAATTTATACCAAGGCGATCCTGGCTTTCCCTAGGGGTCGGGGCAGACTACTGACCCAATACAGCAGCTAGCCCTGCAGGTGGCAGGCGGGTTGCACGGAGGAGCCGGGAGAAGGAAAGGAGGGGTACGTGTGTCTCCAACATGTGGGGAGGTTCTTATGACCATGACCAACATGATCACACGTCAGTCAGCGGTTCTCATGTCAGATGCATATTAGAATGATCTGAGTAGTTTATAAAGTGATCCATGCCTGCCTCCACCTCACCCCCGAGAATCTGTTTTATCTATCTGCCCCAGACACCTGGGGCCAGATATTGGTATTTCCTTTTTTTAAAATATATTTTTTATTGATTTCAGATAGGAAGGAAGTGGGAAAGAGAGATAGAAACAATGATGAGAGAGAATCGTTGATCAGCTGCCTCCTGCACACCCCACACTAGGAATTGAGCCTGCAACCTGGGCATGTGCCCTGATCGAGAATTGAACTATGACCCCCTGGTTTATAGGTTGATGCTCAACCACTGAGACACACTGGCTGGGGTGGATATTGGTATTTCCAAAAGCTTCCCAGGTGATTCTGACGAGCATAAGAGATTGAGAACCACACTTCTCCATACACAGAGGGGAGCCACAAGGACCACTGGGAAGTCATGGCCCCAGGAGCCACTCAGAATCCTCATGAGTACAGAGGGTGTGCTATGGTGCTCACCGCATTACAGGGAAACACTAAACGAGTGTAAAGGGGCATGGCAAGCTGCCTGGTACTCACAGGCTCGTAGCGATAGGTGTAAACACAAGGGGACATCGTTGAAGATGAGGCAGGTCCAGACGTCTCAGCTCAGCCAGTAACCAGGCACCTCAGGTAGAGCATCTCAGCCAGCACGCTGATCCCCTAAGACCCAGACCCTGCAAGGAGAGGGGCACGTGCAAACCTGCATCCCCGCAGGTGGCACAGATGCTCTCATCAAGATATGGCCACTCTGGGAGCAGAGAAGGGGCCACTGATTTAGCCAAGGTGCTGGGGAAGAGGTGCCACTTGAGCTGTATCTTGAGAAACAAGAAAAACAACCCACACACAACCACAGGGGAGAGATCATACACACACATACACACACAAATACACACAGAGGCACTTCTGCCCTCCCATCCTCCCATTGAAGGATAGCCTGGCAAAAATTCTTCCCCATTCACATGCCACCCCAACCCCCACCCCCTAACACTCAAGACATCAGTGCTTCCTAGTCCCACCCTTACAGACCCTTTTCCCCTCGAAAACCTTATAAGCCCACTTTCAAGGGCTCTGCTCACCAAGTGGGGGGCCCTGGGGGAAGCAGGCACGATGTGATGCCAGCAGGAAGGGCCTCATTTCCTATCTGAGCATCTGCTCTCTGCTCCCAGGAGAGCCTCTGCTCTCCCCAACGCAGGGTCCCTAAGGAGCCAGCAGAGTTGCTCTGTTACTAATGATCCTCAGCTTGTCTTCTGGCTGCTTCCCCAGATGTGCCTCTGGGTTTCTTACACTCGTGGAGACCCCTTGGGGCTCATTCATGAATTCATTCATTTAACAGATGCCAAGCCCTATGCTGGGTGAACACAGAGACCAGTGGACACAGTTCCTGCCCTCGGGAAGCACCCAGACATTTGGGAAAATTGTATCTGTCAGCAGCTGGTTACATGACAATGAACTAAGTGCTATAATGGGGGTATATGCAGCAGAGGAACACAGTAGGGACAGAAGGGACAGACAAGCAGGTCGCCCCTAATAAGAATCTTGAAGGAGTTGGTCAGGAAAGAGGAGCCAATGAGGTTGCTCCAAGCTGAGGAGACAGACAGTAAGTACAAAGACCTGGAGATGACAGAAAGCAAACTGTGCCTTCATGAAACCAAAGCTGCTCACGGGGAGGGGCCAGAGGTGAGATGGAGAAAAAGCAGAGGCAGGGCCTCAGTGATCTCATTTGGGCTTTATCCTGAAGGCAATGGGGAGCCATAGAAAGTCTAAACAGGGGAAGGATTCAAATAAATCTATATTTCAGAAAGGCCAGTCTGGGCTGGCAGAAAAGCTAGGATGGGAGACATGTCAGAAGTGCCACCGGAGGACACACAGCGTGGCCTGAACTGGGATAGTGACTGTCGATGGGAGAGAAAGCATAAGAGTGGAAAGAAAGCATCGGTATTGAGGGTACCGTGGAGAACCTGGAAGGCACAGTCCTTACCCTCACACAGCTGAAAATCCACTGGGGAAATAGCCATTAGACAAAGAACCAAATGGACAGATGCCATGTTATACATGCTGAGAGGTGCTATAAGAAAAAGTAACAAGGGGGCATCTGTAATACTTTAAACAATAAAGATCAATGTTTAAAAAGTAAAGAGTGTAATGCCAGATGATCATGGGGTATGAGAAGTTAACCAGGTGTGGAGAGGAGGAGGCAGTTTCTACACGGAGGGAATTAATTACAAAAATGAAGAGGGCTCCGGTGGCCTAGAGGGAGCTAGTGTGCAATTAGGGAAAGGTGTCCCTCCTTCCCGAGGACACTGCCGTGCACAAGGCAGCCACGACCGGACCGCAGCCCCACTCACTGCTCAGCCAGGTGCACTTGTGCAGTGAACAGCCCACATAATCGTCATGTAGAAGAGGCAATAAAGAATACGCAGCCCACCAGATGCAGTGGAAAGGAGTGGGCAAGACTGGTGAGAAAAATGAGCAAGAGGGGGAAGGCAGAAGAAAGAGGAGATGTGGTGGGAGATAAATACAAAAATGATGATGGTGCTGCTGCTGAACAACAGTTGGTCCTAGCTCGGGTTTTTCCTCATGTGTAAAATACTTAAATCCTCTCCACACACCTCACCACTGTTAAAGGGAAATGTTAAAATGTGAGACGGTGTAATAGTTGTGTTTACACGGCCCATAGTTATTTTTTCCAGACAACATTTAGCAGCAGGTTTTAATTCATACAGAACTTCCCCAGTATCAGGGGCGCGTGAGTCCCAGATGATGTCAATGGCTGCATGATTCCTGGGATCTAAGCCCAGCTGTGCTGCTGACCAGTTTTGAGATCTTGGGGATGTGGCTTAACCCATCTGGACTTGGGCTTTCTCTCGGTGGAAGAGATTGGTGAGTTTAAAAGGTATGTTCTGAAATTCTTTAGTAATTCACTCAAAGCATTTCAGAAAAAGATAAATGAAGTACATTTTTTTTTTACAGATAAGGGAACTGGGACCATGACAAATAGATTTTTCTCAGCGTAAGCAAGTAATTTATAACCTCCTACTTTACTGATCCTCCTTTTACTTTTCTCTATGTTTTATTGAGATACAATTCATTTACCATAAAATTCACCCTTTTAGAGTGTCCAATTCAGTGGCTTGTACTATATTCCCAATCTTGTGCAACCATCCCCACTAATCTATTTTCATTTCTATGGGTTTGCTTCTTCCAGGCAATGGAATCACACACTATGTGGTCTTTTGTGTCTGGCTTCTTTCACTTAGCACAATGTGTTCCAGGTTAATCCATGTTGTAGCATTTATCAGTACTTCATTCCTTTATTTTGCTGAATAATATTCAATTGTATAGATATGTCACACTTTGTTTATCCAGTCATCAGTTGATAGATATTTGGGTTATTTCCATTTTTTAGCTGTTATACATAATAGTGCTAGGAACATTGACCTGCAAGTTTTGGGGTAAACATATGCTTTTAATTTTTTTGTGCATATACCTAAAAGTGAAATTGCTGGGTATATCATAACCCTATGTTTAAATTTTTGAGGAACTGCCAAAGATTTCCCCAAAGCAGCTGCACCATTCTACATTCCCATCAGCAATGTATGAGGGTTCCAATTTCTCCACAGCCTAACAACACTGTTATTGTCTTTATTCTAGCCATCATCCTAGTGGGTGTGAAGTGGTGTCTCATTGTGGTTTTGATTTTGCATTTCCCTAATGATTAACGATGCTGAGCACTTTTCCTGTGCTTATTGGCCATGTGTATACAGTGGGGCCTTGACTTACGAGTGTCCCAACTAACGAGTTTTTCGAGATACGAGCCGTCTCTCGGCCGATTTTTTGCTTTGAGTTGCGAGCTAAAATTCGGGTTATGAGCCAGCTTCAGATACCCCACCGCTAGTTGGCGCAGTGAAAGTCACAGTGAACGCCACAACATCCGCCCAGCATCACGTGTCTCACTCGTTCACTTTATGATTTGACATACGAGTAATTTGAGTTACGAGATCCGTCACGGAACGAATTAAACTAGTAAGTCAAGGCCCCACTGTACCTTCTTTGGAGAAATTGAGTTTTTTAATCCTTTGTCCATTTTAAAATTAGGTTCTTTGTCTCTTTATTGCTGTGATGAGTTCTTCATACATTCTAGATACTGGACCTTTACCAGGTATATGATTTGCAAATATTTCCCCTCATCCTCTGCATTGTCTTTTCACCTTCTTGCTTGTTTGCTTTCTTGAAGCACAAATTTGTTTTTTATATTTTGATAAAGTCTAATATGCCCATATTTGCCTTCTGTTGCCTGTGTTTTTGGTGTCTTATCTAAGAAACCATTATCTGATCCAAGTTCTTCTAAGAGTTTTATAGTTTCAGCTCTTACTTTTAGGTATTGGATCCATTTTTAGTCCATTTTTGTAAGTGGTAGGACAAAGGAATCCAACTTCATCCTTTTGTACGTGGATATTCAGGTGTCCCCACACTATTTATGTTGAAAAAAAACTGTATTTCCCCATTGAATTGTCGTGGCACCCTTGTAAAAAATTAATTGCCCATAAATGTATGGGTTTATTTCTGGACTCTCAATTTTATTCCACTGATCTAAATGTCCATCCTTATGCCAAACATACAGTCTTAATTGTTGTAGCTTTGTAGTAAGTTTTGAAATCAGGAAGTGTAAGTCCTTCAACTTTTTTCTTTTCCAAGATGTTTCAGCTATACTGGGTCCTGTGCATTTCATGAATGTACCTTTAAGTAGCTTGTCCTGGTGATATTTTCA